TATGGGCTCGCTTCGATGTGTTTCAGTTGCTCTTGACGCATGTACTTCGCGGCAGCGTCAAGCAACTCCCCAAAGACGTACCTGCATTAGACATGCATTAATGTTAGCAATTTGTAAAATAAACATTGGTAGAGCAAAACCTACAATGAGTGCACGGACTGGATTTACTCACCCGGAAAAGTAGGTTCCCTTGGAATCCAAGGGAAAGTTGGGGACTCCAAGCTCGGCCATGAACTTGATGTTGCCCACGTAGGAGGTGATCGGCGCCTCCGACTTGCATGTGTACACGGTAGTTTTGAGAGCGGTGATGATGTGAAGCGTACCACGATCCAGCCCCTCGAACTCGCTGATCAACGCCTGGCGCAGCTTCCGGCTCTCCTTCGACTTCAACACGGCGTGTGCGTCCTGGTGGGCGGTGGAGCGCTGGTGCGTCCAGATGCTCCCCTTCTGCATATCACGCCCTCCACTGCCACTCTTGCCATACGCCGTGTTCGCACCTTCCACGCCGTGCTCCAAGCACGTGCTGCATCTAACAATAGGGAAGCCGACATCATCATGAGTTAGAATAAGCCACGGAAATAGAGACTCCCATGACGTTTTAAATCGCTTATGCGCTTTAGCAAAAGCAATTTCGGGGTAACGGGGCATCTCTTCAACAGTCAGCATGCCGTCTTCCTCCTCCTCGTCATCTCTCCCTTCGTCTCGCACTCGTGCAGTTGGACGTGCCCCCCGCGAGACAGAGAGCTTCGGTTTTCGCCACCACTGCTTTGCACTAACCCCGCTTGAGTCTTCCGCTTCTTGTTCGCAGAGTCGCCAGCCGCAGCGCCTTTCTCCGTAACAGGTGCTATCGCTTCTGGAGGGGAAGGTTCAGTCGTTGTTGTGCAAACTCCAGGTGAGAGCGCAGGTCACGTCCCGATTCATCCAGCGCGGTATCATCCTCGGTAGAAGCGACAATGGGCTCCGGTTCTTGAAGCTTCTTAACGGGGCCTCGTAAAAGGCTGAGGCCCGTTCGCAGGGGTGAGTTCTGGACTTGACGACGTGCCTCGTCCTCACCATCACCGGTTTCGTCAACAGCCATGGCGAGGCCCAGAGAGGTTGATGCAGGTGCTGGGCCTACGCTAGCTCTGTGAGGGCGTGGTGGTGTGGTTTGCAAAACCTAGATGAGAAAGCGAGGAGGTAGGATGGAGAAATGAAACAAGAGGACTGGGGTTGGGTGCCTACGACTGGTCGGTGGGTGGGGGGCTGGTGGAGAGGGAAGATGGGACCAAGCAGGACACTCCTCTTGCACGAAGCACACCTGTGTGGCGCTGCGCAGCATCGCCAGTCGGGCAAATTGCAGGTGAGCCATGTACAGTTGGCGGGGCTGTGGCAGTGGCGACGCGAGCCGTCTAGGCGAAGCGCACCTTTGCTGACTCAGGCAAAACGCTGCTAATCGTGGCCCAAATCACGTCGGCAACCCCCCCCCCCCTCAAATCGCATCAGCGTGGTACCCGACACTTGTCTTAGTCATCAGGGCAAGTGCACCAGGCATGTCCTAAATACCGTATGGCCCCGGATATAGGCGCCGTCCGATTAAGGGCGCCGGCGCTTCTATCTGGAGCATGGCGCTTATGGCCGGAACTCGATTATAAGCGCCCCCCCCTCTAGTGGATGTACTTATTATAAGCGCACCCTTTTCACGTTGTGGAGAACTTTTTACAGAAAAGCATCTCTAATTACGGTAATACTAAACATCTCTAATTAACATCATCACAGACAATTTTATCTAGCTACAGATTGCAAAGTTTAGCATCTCTACCTAGAAAATCTACTCCTCGTCGGATTTGGGCTCCTGGCAGTTGTTGCCAAAGAAGCCATCGGCGATGATGGAGTCATCGACGTCCACCTCCGCGGTCAGCTGGCTCCGCCTGTGCGCCATGGCGAGGCCGTCCTCACTGCCGTCAAGCGCGTTGCTGATGCCACAGGTGAGGAAGGCGCGCTTGATGAGGTCGGCAGGCACTGCTTTCCAAGCCCGTGAGATCCACCTCACGACCACCTCTGGGGGTGGCTTCTTCAAGTTCCCTGTACCAACAGAATCACACAATCTATAGTTAGCGCAACAAAAGGGGGGAAAATCATCTACGGTAAGATAGGGACTCGCGTGGCTACCGTACCTGCTCTGGTTAGCTGTTCTTGGCCTTCTTCCTGAAACCACTTCTGATACTGCTGGCGGACGCTCGCCTTAAAGCTCTTGTTGATGCAGACGTCGAGGGGCTGTACCTCCGCCGTGCAGCCAGACGGGATGATTGTCGGCACGCAGTTGAGCTCGCGAAACTTCTCCTTAACGGCCTCAGTGAGGTGACCGCGGTACGAGTCCAGTACGACCATCGAGCTCCGCGCATGCCTCCCGAACCCAGGCTTTAGAAAAGGCTTGACGCACTCCTCAAGCCATTGTATAACGCCGTTGGCGTCCATCCAGCCGTTCTCGTGACACGACACGACCACATCTGCATAACAAACAAGCTTCTGTAAGTCTCTTTAAAAACAGGACTGGTGTAAAGCAAACAAACAAGAATCATGACTCACCCGGCGGGAACACCCCTTTCGGCACGGTCTTCCGCTTGAAAAAAACCCACGGCCTCAGCTTCATCCCGTCCGCCGTGCACGCCAACATCACGGTCACGCGCTCCTTTTGGTACCCTGCGCTCCTGATGGGCACCGACCGAACACCGGTTTGATCGACGGTAGTGGTGGCGGGCATCTCCAGCCACAGCGGCGTCTGGTCGGCGTTGATAATCCACGTCGTCTCGATGCCGCGCTCCCGACGCTTGTCACGGACGAATTGCCAGAACTTCTTGCATTGCTCCGCGATATCTGCGGTTGAGCACAGTTACGGTTAGTGAGTAACAAGTGCATACACATGGCATAGAGAATAAAAATGATTCTTACGGGCGGCGGTTTTTTGGGCGACCTTCGTCTTCATTCGCACGCTGAGATTCCACTGCCGACGGAACCGGTCCGACCACCGTTGGCTCCCTTTCCACTTCACGAGAGGGTAGAGAATCTTCATGAACTTCCGGGACCACTCCTGCAGGCGGCCGACGGACACCGCGGTTCCCTTGCGTCGCCAGTCGAGCAGTCGCTCATACACCGTAATCTCCATCGGGCGGTACCACGATGCCCTGCCGCGACCGTGCATGCGGCACCTGGCAGAGTGGACTTCCTTGAGGAAATCAGCGGCACGCTTCCAGTTGGCGAGGCACTTGCGGTGGATGCCACTCTTGCGAGCCAGAGCGCGCACCGACACCGCCACATCCAGCTGCGCGACCCACTTCAACTTCTCGGCGGCAGTATAGGCCTGACGCTTGTGGTCGTTGGGCTTGTGCCTGGGAGAGGGGGGGCGAGAATCACGGTTCTGTGAAGAAGGGTGAGGTCGCTTTCGATTACATGGAGGATAAGTTGGTATCGGGAGTTTCTCGGGGAGGCCATCGCGTGACCAGTATTCGACGCCGTCGTCGTCGTCACCGCCCGGCGCACCCTCGGGAAACACATCCTCAGCAGTGCCGGCCTCAGTAGCGGCTTCGGTGTCGGCCTCAGTGCCACCCTCGGCGCCGGCGTCGCCCTCAGCGCGCCAACCTTCCTCGGCGTCTTGCACGTCGTTGTCAGCGCCGACTGCAGATTCGTCCCACGTGAAATCTTTTGGCTGGCCCCAACGTGGTGCTGGCGCTGGAGCGGGTACGTCAACATCAGGGCCCTTGTCATAATCCGGTTCCGACAGATACTCGTCGAACGCCGATGGGAGCAGGAGCGTGAGCACGGGGTGGTTGTCGATGTGAGGGGCCACCGGACACGGAGGAGACGGAGGAACAGGAGGAGCAGGGGGAGTCGGAGGCACTGGAGGAGCCGGAGGAGCAGGCGGCGCAGGAGGCGCAGGTGGCTCTAGAGGGTCTGGAGGTATGCGGCTATACCACCCGTCAGCTGTAACACGGTACGCGGGCCTACTAGAAGGTTTTTTCTTGAAGAGAAAATGAGTGCCTGTGAATTCCGCCATGGCTTCCGCAGCCAGGCGGGCGAGAAAAAGAAGACTGAATCAAAAACTGCACGCCTGGGTGTTGAAATGGGAGATTGAAGGGGACCCCTTCTGGTTTGCGGCTCGGGGTCCTCGTCGATGAGAGACGAGTACACCCCTGCCCCAACCCGCAGAGGAGGGTTGGGGGCACCATCCATGCTGCGTTGGCACGGCAGATTCCATCACGTTCTGGATGGTTCTGCCGAGATGCTCCTGCCTGGCAGCGCATGCCAACCTGATTGGGCCGCACGGCAGCTTTTGCATCAGCGCTGGCAGGTGCGTTGCACCGGGACGGGTTTTGTGCGGTGGGAAATCGAACCGTGGCAAGTTTCGCCGTCCTTCCATGCACGACCCCGCGTGCATGGTTCAGTGTTGTATTCGCCTTATTCGCGGATTCAGAATGATATCATTTACAGAGAAATTCATTTTTGCCTTTATAAAAGCGCCGGCGCTTATGGCCGTTACTCAATTACAAGCGCCCCCCCTAAAAAAATATATATATATATATAAGCGCATATGCGCTACTATCCGGGGTATTATGGTATCAGTGTTAACAAGAAAATTACTTTTTTGGCCAAGGGTGCCTCATAAAACAACTCTTTCAAACAAGGGTGAACACCTATACCCTCCCTTATAGTAAGGTCCGTAAGGGTGTTTTACCCTGATATCGAGAGGCCTGGCTGCAATACTACCAGCGATCAACCCTGAGCCGATCCCTGGCCAAGTCATGTTTAGGAGTAACAATTTTATTGTATGCAGTTGCGCTAGTCATCCTAAGGATGTGTGCCCTTCATCTTCTTCCACTAGATACTTTCATAAATGGTAACAACAAATGTCATCGCATTTGAAGAAGCACAACAATGCCTCCAGAGCGTGGGAATATGCAAGCGGCTTGTTTGTCGCGATCAGGCGACTCTCCCTTGTGTAAAGTATATTGACTCTGCAACGTGCATCACCCCCCTCCGTTGCTCTGGTCCCTCCTCTCATCTCCATGCTCATCCCCATCCCCATGCCCATGCCCATCCCCATCCCCGTCCTCATTGGCATGCTCCTCCGAGTTACCATTGTCAAACCCGTGTGCCTCATCTTCCCTCTCCTCCTCATCCAGGCGGGTGGGGAAGAACTCCTCCCCGGGGGCAATGTGCGTGAAGACCTGCCCGCATCGCAAGCCAATGGCAGGCGGAAACAGTACAGACAAGAAGAGATTTCAGAAAATGCGTGGATGAGAAGAACCCTGTCTGCCACATCACCATCCACCAGAATAGTGCCATCTCTCCGTCATCACTGCCACCTCTCCATCATCACAATGTCATCCCAACCACCAGTAACATCTCGAGCATTACAGTTTCATCGCAAGCAGCAGCAGCATGGGTGCAAGGGCTCACCTGCTGGGTCTCTTCGAGCACTGACTGCAGGTGCAGGGAGTCACTCGGAGCGCTGCATGCAAACACGCCCTCAGGCACCTGCCATGGGGGGGAGAGCATCAGGAATCCTGCGTCGGGAATCCTGCCTGGAGCATGAATAGCGCACAAAGCACGGTGCACGGTGCATCGCACATGGTACAGAGCGGGCATCCCATGGCCCATACCTGCACACTGCGGGCATCCAGCAGGCGCTGCGAGAAGAACACAGCCCACAGGGCAGTGGGCCTCCCCTTCCCAGCTGTCTCCTCTCCATGCTCCTCGCCCGTCCCTGCCTCTGACCCCACCTGCTCTGATACCATACGGCTGGATGACTCCGTTTCCTCCCCTCCATCTCCCTCTCCTCCCCCCTGCCCGGCCACCCCGCTCCCCGCATTCTCCTGCGCACTCGCTCCCTCTGCTTGCTTGCTCCTGCCACAACCCTCACTCGCTCCCTCTGCTTGCTTGCTCCTGCCACCCCCCTCACTCACACCTCCAGCAGCAGCAGCAGCAGCAGCAGCAGAATGAGTGGTGGGGGAGGGGTGTGGCAACGCAGTGAGGGCAGCAAGCACGGGCAGCAGCAGGGCACGAGGGCAGTGGGAGGGGAGGCAGCGGGTGGAGAGATACAGCAGGTACCTGCAGTGCAGAGGGGGGGAGGTGGGATGTGATGGTGATGGGAGATGGCAGTGGAGAATGAAGGGGACCCGCACGAGAGGGGGGAGAGTGCCATGCTGTAGACAAGTATAGTAGGTAGTGCCATCCGTGTTTTGCTGTTCCCACCAGTCTTCCCTATCGTTGAACCCCAATGCTTATTCCAATAGGGAAGCATTGGAGGGGAGTGTGTGTGTGTGCAGCGCAGGGCATGGGTAACAGGAAGGGAGTGTGAGCAAGGAATAGGAGCACTCACTTCCCTTGGGGGCACACAGCACATTGCGATGACAGCTGGCACACTCTCACTGGCTGCTCCGGAAGCCCTGGTGCGAGTGCTGGCGGAGGGAGAGTGGGCGGGAAGTACAGGGCGAGATGTGGGCGAGATGTGGGCGAGAGGGGTGGGGGGTGGGTGAGGGGCCAGAGACACGTAGCATGTGAAAGAAAATGAGATGAGCTGGGAGCCAGTGAAGGGTAGTCTTGCCTACACCTCTCAGCAGCAACACTCACACCTGGGCGGCAGCACTCACATGTGGGCGGCAACACTCACACCTGGGCGGCAGCACTCACATGTGGGCGGCAACACTCACACCTGGGCGGCAGCACTCACATGTGGGCGGCAACACTCACATGTGGGCGGCAACACTCACATGTGGGCGGCAGCACTCACATGTGGGCGGCAGCACTCACATGTGGGCGGCAGCACAGCAACCAGAGTGTGCATCTGTGGATGCAGGGAACCGTCAGTGATGCAAATGCAGCGCGCCACCATGCCCTCCTCCTGCTCCTCCTCCCCTTCCCCCCTCTCCCCTCCGGCACTTGTCTTGCCAGCGCTGTCCAAACCACCACCAGCGCTGTCCAGACCACCACCAGCGTTGTCCAAACCACCACCAGCGCTATCCAAAGCACCACCAGCGCTGCCCAAAGCACCACCAGCGCTGTCCAAAGCACCACCAGCGCTGTCCAGACCACCACCAGCGCTGTCCAGACCACCACCATTGCCGCCACCGCCACCATGAGACTGAGGCCCCGCCACGCCTGGGCTTGTCCCCTCATCCACACACGCGCCACTGCCACCTGCTGCACTCCCACGTGCTTCAGCACTGCCGCTCACCGCTGCAGGCTCTGCTGCGGGCTCTGCTGCGGGTGGTGCTGCGGGTACAGCGGGGAGGGGCGGCTTGGGGAGGAAGGAGGGGCCGAGGAGCACGAGGGGCGAGCCCAGCAGCTGCCCGTCCTCCACCGCCACTCCCTCACACCGCCCCGTGTGCTGGGGGGAGGGGGGGAAGGGGGGACGCGCCGCGGGAGGGGATTGGTACATGGGGCAAAGGCAGCAGGGGATATTATGGTGGATGGTGAGGGATGCAGCTCCGGGTGAGTGTGGGCACGTGATTCAGAGACGTGTGATACGTATGGAGCATGGATGCCATTCATTGCTGCTCCTTGCGGGCCCAGCCCTTGGTGCAGGTGCAGGTGCGGGTGCAGGTGCGGGTGCAGGTGCGGGTGCAGGTGCGGGTACAGGTGCGGGTACAGGTGGAGGGTGGCGCGCGCAGGGAAAAGTGAGGGTGGGTTGGCACGCACTGCATTCACAAGAAGAGACGCCACGGGCCGGCGCAGCACCTGCAGTAGCAGCACGCAGCACATAGCAGGCAGTATACAGGTCGCACAGAGAAGGGTAGAGTATAGCAAAATGACAGGAGAGGCGGGGTGATGAGAGATGAGTGGAGCAATCAGAAGCGGCAATGTTGCCAGCAAACAGAGCAGCGAGGAGTCTCAGGAGCAGCATGCAACATGGTGAAGAGCAGCAGTGGGCGCATGAGGCAAGGTGGGGGGATGAGGCACAGTGGGGGCTGAGGCAAGGGGGAACAGGCGGCATGGGGAGTGCCTGTGACATGCGGGGGGCAGCACTGACATAGAGGGCGCCTTTGACGGCAGCGAGGCGGCAGAAGGCCTGGGCGAGCTCGCCCATGCCGTACAGCGCCACCATCATGCCCGCCTCCGCACCGTACCTGCCATGCCATGCCATGCCCATGCCCATGCCCATTCCCATACCATGCCATGCCCATTCCCATACCATGCCATGCCATGCCCATGCCATGCCATGCCCATGCCCATGCCATGCCCATGCCATGCCATGCCCATGCCCATGCCATGCCCATGCCATGCCATGCCATGCCATGCCCATGCCCATGCCATGCCATGCCCATTCCCATGCCCATGCCCATGCCCATGCCATGCCATGCCATGCCCATTCCCATGCCCATGCCCATGCCCATGCCCATGCCTATGCCATGCCCATGCCCATGCCCATGCCATGCCCATGCCCATGCCCATGCCCATGCCCATGCCCATGCCCATGCCCATGCCCATGCCCATGCCATGCCATGCCATGCCATGCCCATGCCCATGCCATGCCATGCCATGCCCATTCCCATGCCCATGCCCATGCCCATGCCATGCCATGCCATGCCCATTCCCATGCCCATGCCCATGCCCATGCCCATGCCATGCCCATGCCCATGCCCATGCCCATGCCCATGCCCATGCCCATGCCCATGCCCATGCCCATGCCCATGCCCATGCCCATGCCCATGCCCATGCCCACGCACACATGTGCACAGGAGCAGAGGTGCGCACACATGTGCACGGGAGCAGAGGAGCGCACCAATAAAAAAAGCTGCAGATGGGAGGGGCTGGCGCATGAAAGGGCGTTGGTGAGCTGCCCTGACCTGAGGGCCAGCATGAGGGCAACCACCGCCTCACACCCACCCATGTGCCGTGCCAGCACAATGCACACAGCGGCCACCCAGCACCCAGCCAGCACCCAGCACCCACCCACCCAGCAGCCAGGCAGCACCCACCGGCCGACGGAGTTGAGGAAGAGTGCCATGCGAGCCAGCCCCTCCACCGCTCCCACCACGCCCCCCCGCATCCCCTCCCCTCCTCCCCCTCCTCCCCCTCCTCCCCCGCTGCTGCTGCTGCTGCCACCGCTGGCACTGTTGGCAGCGGTGGCAGCAGCGGCAGGGGGTGTGGGGTGCTGGTTGCATGGCAGCAGGGCGATGGCGTACAGAATGAAGCTGGGCGGGGCACAGGGTTGCCGGCGGACCGGTTGGGAGGGGGGAGAGGGGGGGGCGGAGGGGAGGGAGTGGGGGGTGAGAGAGGTTGGACGCATGAGTGGTGGATGAGCGGGGCGAGGGGGGGCAAGAAGCATGGCGCGTTGAGTGGGCGGTGGGGGATGGAGGAGACACCCCCAGAGCACACAGGTGGCGTGGCGTGGGTGGGTGAGAGCAGGGGCAAGGGTGAGCAGGCGTGAGGAGAAGCAGCACGGACCACAGGGCCATGGGCTGCATGCACACGGTGCTGCATCTCACTCTTGCACGCGTGCTGGCAGCCCGTGTGCCTCCAGCAGCGCCGTGAACGTCCCCTCCCCCTCCCCCTCCCCCTCCCCCTCCCCCTCCCCCTCCCCCTCCCCCTCCCCCTCCCCCTCCCCCTCCCCCTCGCTGCCGCTCGCCGCCTTCCCCTCCTCCTTCCCCTCCGCCCCCACCTGCCCACTTCCCTCGTCCCCGCCTTCCCTCGCGCCACCACCGCCACCAGCAGTGGCAGCAGCGGGGGCAGGGGGGCCAGAGGGGGCGGAGTGGGGGGAGGCGGAGTGGAAGAAGCGCATGAGGCGGCGCTTGTCCGCCAGGGGCAGCTGCCGGTCCTGAAACACGTCGCCCCGACTCGTCGGCACCCGTACCAGGCCCCCTTCCCCCCCACCGCCCTGCCCTTGCGCGCCACTCTCCCCCGGCGCCTTCCCCTCCGCCCCCGACTGCCAGCAGAGCAGCGCCTGCACGGCCTTGAACTCCACGTAGTGGTGCGCGCCGCTGCGCACCAGCACGCGCACCGCGTCCTCGCCGCACATCACCACGCGCGGCCCCGCCAGGTCCACCGCGTAGCGCCGCGCCTCGCCCAGCTCTGGTGGCAGGCGCGCCGGGTGGAAGGGCTCGTGGGAGGCGCGTGGCAGCCACGTGGCGGTGGACACGCGCGAGTAGAGCGCGCCGTCCTCCGACGACCCCAGCGCCACCGCCCTCACCTCCCCCGCCCGCACTCGCCCCTCAAGTGACACCTCGCCCGCCCCTGCGGCTGCATCTGCCCCCCCACTCACACCCGCGCCTGATTCCCCACCTGCGCGCGCGCCATCTTCAGTTGCGCCCATGCCTTCGCTATCCCCCTCCTGCCTCTCCTCCGCACCCCCCTCCCCGTCTCTCGGGCCTGTTCCCTCGTCACCGCTCAGCACTCCACCGTCCCCTTCCGCGCTTTCCCCAGCGGCTCTGCGCGCATCCTCCCCGCGCTCGTCGTCGTCGTCCGCAAACCCGTTGGTCTGCGCGTCCTCGTTCTCCCCCGGAGGCGGAATGCGCCCGCCGCTCGCCGCCCACTGCGCGAGTTGGTCGAGCGGCAGCGACGCCCAGTGCGACCCGTAGAAAGCGGCGCAGTCCACGTGCAGCACGCGCCGCCCCGCCAGAGACAGCGCCGCCGCCAGCAGCGACTCGGGCAGGCCCGTGCCGACGACGATCGCGTCGAACGACGTCGGCTCGATGCGACGCTCGCGACGCATGGCGCTGCGATGGACGAACAGCGGCGAAGGACTGTCGCACGGCGAGCAGTAATTTGACTAAGTGACAGAAAGGGGGTTCCTTTCTGCACTGTTGTGGGGAAAGCACGCCCCGCGCGCGATTTTTGAGAATTCTCAAAAATCGCACACTGAAACTAGTAGGGGAGTGTGGAGTGGGGCTGGAAATGTTGATTCATGCGAACACATAATCTGTTATGGTAAAATTCGACAACAATTTGGGGGGGCGTAGTTGCGTAGTGAGAAGAACACAGATTGCACCTCGCACTCCACAGTGTGACTGGTGGCTGTGTGGTCTGTGGAGCGGAAAGGCGCTACTGTCTCCGCCGCATCGCCTCCATCGCCACACCTCGCCCCGCTCTCCCATCGCCCTGCATGGCCATCCGTCAGACCCCCTTTCTTCCTGCCGTCGCGCAATCGCCATCTCCGTCGCTCAGCAGTCGTCGATCGTCCGGGCGACAAACTTTCGCGTCGTTCGCGGTCGAAAGGGCCACGGCCGCGCGCCTCACGCAGTCCCTGGGCTGCGCGCGCCCCACGCTTGTCCTCCTGCTCGCCGCGGTAATTGTCGCGCTGCTGCTGCTCGTCCGCGGGCCCCACCGGGGCGGGTTCCTCTTTGCGCCGCAGTCGAGCGCCGCGGATGACGCGCCGCACGAGGCGCTGCTCGCCGCAGCGTTGGCGGAGCTGAGGCGGGCGCGCGAGGAGGGGCGGGCGGAAGAGGTGGTGGCGGCGCAAGAGGCGGTGTTGGCGCGGCAGCAGGCGCTGCTGCGGCGGTACTGGCGGCAGCTGACGCGACTCACGGGGCAGCGCGGCGGGAAAACAGGGAGAGGGGGGCCAATCGTAGGGAGTGGAGAACAGGGGAAGGCGGAGGTGGGGGGAGGGGAGTTCGTGGGGACGCGGCATGAGGGGTGCGGCGGCGGGGAGTCAACGCCGCGCGAGCAGGCGGTGGCGGAGGCGGAGATGCTGGAGTGGCGGCCGCAGGAGGACTCGTATCTGCTGGCGGCGTGTGTGTACGGGCGGATGACGAACCGCCTGCTGTGTCTGCGCAACTACATCCTGGCCGCCACGCTGCTGCGCCGCCCGCTCATCGTGCCCGCGGAGGACCTCTACCGCCCCGCGCGCCGCTGGAACTCGCCACTCGACGCGCCACTCAGCCTCGATGTTGTCTTCAACGCGTCGCACCTCAACGCCTGCCTCGGCCGCCGCGTCGCCGTCACGCTGCGCGACTATCTGCGCGCCGCCAACGCCACGCGCCTCGACGTTGACCCCTTCGTGTGCTGGGCGGATCGCTGCGCCTTCCAGCGCGGCCGCCCGTCCCACCCCGCCATCCGCTTCGCGTCGCGGCGCCAGGCGGGGCTGGAGGCGAACGTGACGCGCCGCACCTTCACGGACGCGTACGGCGGCGCGGGCGGGCGCGTGCTGTGCCTGGGCGATCTGTACGAGTCGCACGCGCGCTTCCTCGACCCGCCGCCCGGCTTCACCTCCAGCCTTGCCACCGCGTGGGCCATGCCCCCCCTCGCGCCGCCCCCTGCCGCCGCGGGCGCGCGTGATGCAGGCGGGGGGCTGGCAGGTGGAGGGGGGTCGCAGTTAGGGGCAGCAGGGCTTGGCATGGAGCAGCGGTGCCGGTCGCTGGTGTGGCCGTGTGATGCGGTGGTGCAGGCAGCAGAGGGCTTCGTGCGCGAGGTGAGCGGAGGGGCGTTTGCAGCGCTGCACCTGAGGCGGGACGACATGTTCCGACACTGCGTGGGGCAGGGCAAGTGCCCGTACTGGGCGCAGCGGCAGGCAGGAGAGTGCGTGCGGGAGAAGCTGCTGGGGGGGGCGTTTGACGCTGCCAGTGCCCAGCATGCACGGCACGCGGGAGGGGCGGCGTGGGCAGGGCGAGGAGCCATGGGCGCGTTTCCCGGGCGGCCATTGCTGTTCCTGGCGTCAGACACTTCAGACTCGGACCTCGCTGTCTTCCTCTCCGCCCTGCAAGGCGTGCCCCTGCTGCCACACACCAACACCACCACTGCCTCTGCCAGCACTGCCAGCACTGCCAGCAGCTTCACCACGCCCACACCAGCATCGCTAGCTGGCCTGGATTCACCCGAGGCAGTGGTGGTGGTTCGGTTGCCGAGCCTGGAGGGCAAGATGTGGGCGGAGAGGCTGAACCGGGAGGGGCTGGCAGGGGACGCGGTGGCGGTGGCGGTGGTGGAGAAGGTGGTGTGCGCCATGAGCCGGCTGTTCCTCACCACACCGGGCTCCACCTTCTCCCACCACATCATGCACCTCCGTATCGCCCTCCACACCGCCTCCTGCCATGATGGGGGCTTCTGCCACGGCCTCATGGACCCCGAGCCCGTCTGACCTGACTCGAGCGGAATTCCCTGGCCTCATGCACCCTCACGCAGCCCAATCCACACAAGTGAGCTGACTGACACGTGGCCTCAATCCCAAGTGACCTAGCCTTGCTGCCGTGCGCATCAACAGCAGGATGTGGTGGTGTGGCTTAGGCAAGGCTTTCTATTATTATATTTGTACTAATAATGTGTTGTATGTACAGGGCCTAAAGGCTTGTGAGAGTCCATATGCTACCGGTAAAGAGTACCATGCTTCCACACAAGTACTTAGTGCACTGGCTGCTACAACAAGCGGCTGCTTGCACTCCTCAGCTGCTTGCACTCCTCAGCTGCTTGCACTCCTCAGCTGCTTGCACCCTTCCATCCTGCCGCCCGCCTCTATCCTCACTCCTCCACACCTCACAGTGCCTCCTCCCCATCCCCCGCTCCCTCTGCACCTCGCTCCTTCGCCCTCACCCCTGCCTCTGCCTCCCCACTGGCCCCATGTGAGCCCAGCAGCAGCACGAGCAGGAGGGGCAGGTACGCAGCGAGGAGAGGGGGCAGGAGGGCAGAGCGGGCGGCAGCAGCGAGGGTGGCGGAGAGCAGGTGGAAGGCGGCAGCAAGGGGCAACCCCAGCTGGAAGGGCGCCCCTCTGCTTGCCGTGCGCTGGCCCCCCATCCAGCTGAACCGCTTGCTGGCAGGGGCCGCTGTCACCAGCACTGCCACCGCCCCCAGCTGTGGGGAGAGAGGTGCGGGTGGGGTGAGAAAGAAGAGTTAGGATGACATGGAGAAGTGGGGTGAGCGAGAGATGGAGAGGGGTGGACCATGGACAACTATCATGCATGCAGGCTTGCACGATCCACGTCTCACCACACCATGCATGCCCCTCCCATCATGCCTGCCTCACCACACCATGCATGCCCCTCCCACCCTGCATGCCTCACCACAGCATACGCCACACAGGAGGCACAGCTGGCATCGCGCAGCACCAAGTCACTCTCCGCCTCCGCCACCCTCCTCCGCTGCTCCCCCACCCTCCTGCGCTGCTCCCCCACCCGCCTCCGCTGCTCCGCCACCGCCCGCTCATCCCTTCCCCCCCACCTCGGCCCCTTGCGGGGTGCCTGGCGCTGAAGCCATGCGAGCTGCGCGCGCAGGTGCCTGGTGCGCGCTGTGAGGAGGTGGCGGGGGAGACAGGCGGGCGGCAGGGCGGCGTGGGCGGCGAGGGGCGAGGAGGAGGGCAGCGCAGAGGCGAGTGGCACGTCCAGTGACTCCAGCTGGGGGGACGGGAAGAGAGGGGAAGGGGGCGTCCAGAGGAGTAGCACATAGGCGAACACGGTGCGGATGGTGACGGCATGAGAGCACAGACGAGGGCGAGGGTGAGTAATGGTGGCAGGCAGATGGAGAGAGCCAGAGAGAGCAGCACCTGGAGCAGAGAGAAGGAGGCTGGTGCTGTAGCGGGGCCATGTGAGGCTGGTGCGGTGGAGAGCGGTTCAGCAGGTGGTTGCGGCGATGGTGGTGCCATGGTGTGTGCGGTGGGAGGCAGGCAGGCGGGTGGGGCGAGCGGCAGCAGGCAGCAGTTGAGGAGGCGCCACGTGCGCGAGAGTGGCTGCCACTCACACCGCTCTGCTGCCACCACCTGCTCACAGCGCACGGCACACAGGACAGGTGCTGAGTGATACTCACACCTGTGATACACTCATCTCCAAGCCAATTTTTGTGTGAATTTGTAAGTTACCAGTCATGTTATGGACGAAGGACAGATAGACTGAGACGGAGAGACAAGAAGGGGAAGAAGGAAGAAGGACCTACTGCCTGCACGTGCCCCTGAGGCGCGAGGTGCAGCAGCATGACACGCCGCATGGCACCACCCCCCACCTCCCCCGAATACCACACTCGCCACAGCCCCGCCCCCCCTCCCCCTCCCTCCCCCCCATTGCCTGCTGCCGGCACTGCCCCCCCTGCACTGCTGGCGGGAGGAGAGGCGATGGTGGTGTGTGGTGAGGAGGGGTGAAGATGGGCGAGGAGGAGTGCGAGGGGGTCATGGTGGTGCTGCGCCTGGTGGGGGGAGAGGGGCGGGCACAGAGGTGAATGGAGAGAGGAGGGGAGAGGGGAGGGTGGGCAGGCGATGAGTGAGTGGGGCAGAGTGAGGGTGCACGCAGTCAGTGGTAGCACCACTTGACATGGCATACATGGCACCGCATGACACCACATAACACTGCATGGCATGGCACCGCATGGCAGTACATACATACACATGCGCACCGTACTCCCCCCCATCACATACATGCGCACCATATTCGCGCAGCAACACATGCTGCTGTGATGGCAGCGATGCCATGTCCGATGTCACCGCCGCCTCCACCATGCGCTGCGCCCTGCCATACCATTTCCGGAGCCATGCCATGCCATGCATAACAATTAGTAAGTCCAAGAAACAAGGTCCTTGAATGTTCGGGACAGAATGCAGCAGCGCAGACATAGCATCACATGGCATGGCATGGCATGGCAAAGCATGGCTTGGCACGCTGTGGCAGGCAGAGTGGAGTCACCTGCCCATGGCCCATGGCACCACGTGCTCATGGCATGCTCACCTGCCCATGGCCCATGGCACCACGTGCTCATGGCATGCGAGCATCAGCACGCCTGCCCCCACGCCCACACACACTGGCGCGCGCAGCAGCCTGCCCCACGCCACCCCCCCCGCCGCCATGCCCGCCAGCTCACTCTGCGCCTGGGGGGCACTCGGGGGGCCATCGGGGGGCAGTCCGGGGGAATTTGGAGGGCAGACAGGAAGAGGGGCAGAGAGGGCGACAAGGTGGGTTGCAATTGAAGGACTCAGCCCCGCGCCACCTGCGAGCGACGCTGCAGGGGGAGGGGTAGGGATGCGGATGCAAGGGGTAGGCGCGTATGTGGGCGCAAGTGGGGGAGGGAATTGTGTGGGTGCAAAGGGGCGGGGGGCGCACCAGGAGGTGGGAGAAGGCGAAGAGGGAGGCGGCGAGGCAGGCGGGGGGGAGCGCGAGCGCGAGGAAGCGCGGGAGGTGGTGCAGCGCGACTAGCAGCGCCAGGCGGAGCGGCGCCCCCGTGTTGGCCGCCACGCGCGCCACCTCCGCCAGCGACCCCAGCGCCACGCCTACGCTCGCCGCCACGCCCGCCGCCACCGCGAACGGGCGCGCCATGCTGCGCGCCAAGTACCCGTCCAGCACGCCCCACCGCCACCGCCGCCCCCGCATGGCCCACTTCCGCGCCAGTTGCGCCCACAGTTTCCGCCATTCGGGCGGGGCTTGCGGTGTCGAGGGCGGAGAGGCGGCGGAAGGGACGGAATCAGCGGGAAGAGCAGCGGGCGGGCGAGGGAATGCGCGGGACGCGCGTGGCGCGAGCAGACGAATCGGGAAGGGCGGACGACGAGGGGAAAGACAGAAGGGGGAGCTAATGCGGAGGGCGGGTGTAAGGCCGGGGATAGAGGGGCGTGTGGGAAGAGAAGTCGAGTGACAGACAGTCGAGGCGAGGCGGATGGCGATGGCGGAAGGCGAAAGCGACTCCGCCATGCTGCCAAAGATGGCGCGGAGGAAAAGGCGAGGGGCACTGTGAACATTAATATCAGCACTAAAGTGCATTCTGTTACGAAGACAAGTTGATTATAGGAACCACAAGTTCTCTTTTCTAGGACCCATACAATCATCTCTTATATAATGCATAAGTACAAGCGGAACCGCCAAGGAAATGGTAATTCGTTCACGTGCTTCATCCCGTGATTCTGAAAGGCGATCACGAGGGCAGGGAGCGCTTGGTCCTCTTCCTAACCACACTCTCCACGAGCTGCCTCACCTCCTCCTGCTGCTCCGCACTGCGACACGCCGCCAGCATCACCCGCACCGCCCCCGCATCCCAACGCACCCCCGCTGCCACCATCTTCCTGAACACACTCGTGCACTTTCTCAGAAGCTTCTTCTCCGCGTACCCGCCCATGAGGGTGGTCCACGTAGCGGCATCAGGAGCCACCCCGCCTGCCCGCATGTCATCCATGAGCCTCTCAGCACCCGCCATGTCAGCGGCATGCACGAGCACGGCAAGCACGGTGTTGTATGAGCTCACATGCCATGCCGCCCCCTCGCCCCCATGCATGCGCGCCAGCACTCGCTGCATGGCTGCCCTGTCCCCCGCGTGCCCATGTGCCCCTGCCAGGCAGTTGAGCATTGTCCTGTCCACCCGCCCCCGCGCCCTCCCTCCACCACCCCTCCCACTCCCTCTCCCACGTCTCCTCTCTTCCCCCACATCGTCCCTCCCCTCCCCCTCCTGGCTGCGCCCCCCATCGCCCCCTTTCCACCCGCGCAGCAGCGCCAGGTGTGCCTGCACTTTCTCCGGCAGCCCTGCCCGCTCGTAGGCGCGCAGCAGCTCGTGCTGCCACCGCACTGGGGGGGGTGAGCCTGCTGGTGCCAGTGATGCATACACCTCCTCCGCCTCTGATGGGGGGGGGGGGGAGGGAGGGGGAGGATGGGTGGAACGAGGCGCGGTGTGGGTGGTGAGAAGGGAGGCAGATCTGGGGCTGAAAGGAGGACGAGTGCAGCCATGTCAAGCGTTACATGGCATTCATTCTCTGCAACTTCATACGTGCATGCATACTGCACTCTCTGCTGCTGCATGCATACTGCACTCTCTGCTGCTGCATGCATACTGCACTCTCTGCTGCTGCATGCATACTGCACTCTCTGCTGCTGCATGCATACTGCACTCTCTGCTGCTGCATGCCCCAGCACCACACTGCTTCCCTTTCCATTTTCCCCACACCACTCCCCACCCCACCAGTTTCCTTCCTCACCTCCCTTCCTCGCCCTCCCCTCTCCTCATCCCCCCTTCCCCTCTCACCTGCCCACAGTCCCTGCCGTGCCAGGGCGGCGAGCAGCGGGGTGACACAGGAGGGCGGCGGGGCGGCACCAGTGGTGCGCTGCATGGCCTCCAGCACTCCCCGCGCTCGCGCCACCTCGCCCGCCGTGCTGGGGGGTGGCGTTGGGGGAGGGGGGGAAGGGGGGAGGGGAGGGAGGGGAGAGGTTGAAGGGCATGGCGTGAGGAATGGGGTGAGGGGAAGAGGCTGTTGTGGGCCGCGTGGAGAGGGCGAGACGCGTGAGGGAGTGCCTCGTGCACACATGCCATCCCTCCCACCTTCTCTGTGCCGCGGGTCGCCACGCCCTCCGCCCGCCTACCTGCTGCTGCCGCAGCCCAGCAGCCTAGCAGCCTAGCAGCCCAGCAGCCTAGCAGCCTAGCAGCCTAGCAGCCTAGCAGCCTAGCAGCCTAGCAGCCTAGCAGCCCAGCAGCCTAGCAGCCTAGCAGCCTAGCAGCCCAGCAGCCTAGCAGCCTAGCAGCCCAGCAGCCTAGCAGCCCAGCAATCAAAGGGTCGCGCTACAGCATGAGGCTGAGCGTCCTCACGCTGCTCGTAGTGTGTCTCACCAGAGGGCGTGCAGGAGGGCGGTGGTGGAGTGCATATCAGGGCGCAGCCCCATGAGGGCGATGCTGTCGTACGCACGCTGTGCCTCCCGCCACTGCCCCACGCGTGCATGCGCAGCTATCAGCGCCGTGAAACATGGCACCGTGGGCAGCACGGCCGCCCCGTGCAGCCCTGCAAACACCTCCTCCGCCCGCTGGGGCAGGCCCGCCTGGAAGGGAGGAGGGGAGGGGAAGACAAGGTGGGAGGGAGAGAGAGTGAGCAGGTGTGATGGTGCAGGTGACAGAGAAAGTGAGGGAGCAAGTAGCAGGGGTAACAGTGTCAGCTCACCTTGCCATAGGCGTGCATGAGCAGCGCGTAGGAGGCGGCAGTGGGGCGCACGCCCTCCCCCCGCATGGCGCGCATGAGCCCCTCCGCGCCCTCCACGTCCCCCGCCCTCCCCCTCACCTCCACCATCGTGTTGTACGTCACCAGACCTGGGGGCGAGGGCAGGGCGCAGGGTGCAGGAGAGGCAGGGGGCAGAGGGGGCAGTGGGGCAGGGTAGGCAGGGGGCAGGGGGAAGCGGGTGCAGAGGCAGGGCAGGTGGAGAGGAAAGCATTGATGATGGGGACAGAGAGGAGGTCGGGAGGGAGGGAGGGGAGGTGGCATGGCTGATTGAGCATTACTGTGCGTCCCGCCACTGGCCTAACCGCTCTCGCCTCTCCGCTCAGCATCTGCATTCCGTCGGCAGCACTCACTGGGGCGGCAGCACTCACTGGGGCGGTAGCACTCACTGGGGCGGCAGCACTCACTGGGGCGGCAGCACTCACTGGGGCAGCAGCACTCACTGGGGCGGTAGCACTCACTGGGGCGGTAGCACTCACTGGGGCGGTAGCACTCACTGGGGCGGCAGCACTCACTGGGGCGGTAGCACTCACTGGGGCGGCAGCACTCACTGGGGCGGTAGCACTCACTGGGGCGGCAGCGCAGCACTCACTGGGGCGGCAGCACTCACTGGGGCGGCAGCACTCACTGGGGCGGTAGCACTCACTGGGGCGGTAGCACTCACTGGGGCGGCAGCACTCACTGGGGCGGTAGCACTCACTGGGGCGGCAGCACTCACTGGGGCGGTAGCACTCACTGGGGCGGCAGTACTCACTGGGGCGGTAGCACTCACTGGGGCGGCAGCACTCACTGGGGCGGTAGCACTCACTGGGGCGGCAGCACTCACTGGGGCGGCAGCACTCACTGGGGCGGCAGCACTCACTGGGGCGGTAGCACTCACTGGGGCGGCAGCACTCACTGGGGCGGCAGCACTCACTGGGGCGGCAGCACTCACTGGGGCGGCAGCACTCACTGGGGCGGTAGCACTCACTGGGGCGGTAGCACTCACTGGGGCGGCAGCACTCACTGGGGCGGTAGCACTCACTGGGGCGGCAGCACTCACTGGGGCGGTAGCACTCACTGGGGCGGCAGCACTCACTGGGGCGGTAGCACTCACTGGGGCGGCAGCACTCACTGGGGCGGTAGCACTCACTGGGCGGCAGCACTCACTGGGGCGGCAGCACTCACTGGGGCGGCAGCACTCACTGGGGCGGTAGCACTCACTGGGGCGGCAGCACTCACTGGGGCGGTAGCACTCACTGGGGCGGCAGCACTCACTGGGGCGGCAGCACTCACTGGGGCGGTAGCCGCGGTGAAGCATCTCCTGAAAGAGCTCTTCAGCGGGCGGCAGCAGGCCCTGACGACACAGGCCGCCCAGCACCACGTTGAATGAGGCCTCACTGGGCACACACACGCCCACGCCCTCCTCCACCCACATCTCCACCTCCTCCTCCCCCACTTCCCCCCTTTCCCCCTCCTCTTCTTCCCATTCCTCCCCGTCCCCCTCCTCCTCCTCCCTCCCCTTTCCCCGCGACCCTCTACCCTCTCTTCCCCTTGCTCCCTCGCCTTCCTCCCCTGCATCTCTCTCTCTTCCCCCCGCCGCCCTCTCCCGTCCGCGCGTCTGTGGGAGGGAGAAGCGCACGCGCCCTTGCTGCATGAGGCGGAAGACGCGCAGAGCAGTGGGGGCGGCGCCTGAGCGCGCGTACGCGTCCATGAGCAGATTGTACCCCGACACGTCCGCGCGCCACCCCTCGCGCGCCACCACCCACTCGTACACCTGGGGGAGAGGGGGAGAAGGGAGTAGGGGAGGGAGGAAAAGGGAAAGCTTACTTCACTAGAAGGTTGGTGGGTCGAGGCGTGCGGTGGGGGCATGTGAAAGGGACGGTTGACGGAAGAAAAGGGGAAATGAAGAAACAGGCGAACACCTTTCAAAGGGCCACGTGCCGTCTTACATGCGCCACCACTTGCCACTCCTCCCTGCGCCGCAGCTCCCGCAGCACCGCCGCCACATCCTCCTCCGCGCCCTTCCGCCCTCCGCCTCCGTCTCCCCCCGCGCTAGCCGCCTCCAGCGCCGCCCATCTTTGTCGGCGGAGCTTCTGCTGGCGCAGCTGGCGCAGCAGCGCGGACGCGGACGGGCTCAGCACGGGCGGAAGCCGCACGGGGGGCTGGTCGCTGCGCCGCCACTTGCTGCCTGGGGGAAGGGGTTTAAAGGGCGGGGGTTCGGGTTGTGGGTTCGGGGTTTGGTTCCGCCATCACACGCGCCCGTTGCACCGCGCTACCTCTCCTTCCCCCTCGCCTCCCTCTCCCCCACTCGACTGCAAAATAAGCTTTCCTCGCTTCTCTCCCTCCCCTCCCCTCCCCCATCGCGCCATTCCGTCTCCGCCCTTCCGCACCCCACCTGCAAGCGCCACCACGGGGGGCGCGCGCCCTTGCCGTTGGCTGCTGGTGCCGCGGAGAGCGATCGGCGGAGGTCCGCTGAGCGGCATTCCGGGGCGCAGAGTTTGGCGCTTGAACGAGAGCAGTGAGCGGCGGGGCATAGCCGCGGCACTCAGCTTTCCGCGCAGGCCGCCATCATCCGCGGGTGGCCATTTCAAGCGCCGAATGGCGGACTCCTGGTTGCTGTTCCGCGCGCCAGCGCCAGCATCTCGCAAAGCCTCGCCCCTCCCGACTGCACATGCGCGCAGGCGGGCGGAGGCCGACATGGGCGCAAAGGGTGAGAGAAACAAGAGGGGATCGGTGTCAAGAGAGCAGAAAGGCGGAACGGCGGAGCAAACGACGCGGAGTGTGGCAACTGGTGAGGGTTGGAGCTGATGGGCAACGTGGCTTGGCTTGTATGTGTGGTGCGGTTGGCAGGTGTGTTGGTCCGTGCGATGATCGTTGTTGGCTGGTGGGCAGCGCAGAAGGCAGTTCCAAGGTGATCCGCTGGGGTGTTGCATGATACCGTATCAGGGCCTGTTGCAAGGAGCTGATTGAGAACGGTTCAGGAAGGTGCCTTGCAAATCCAACCATTTCATTGCAAACGGGAGAATCTGATCTTTCAATAAGCCATCTAAAACACAATAAGTCACCTACAGCTCCTACCACGAGCGACGGTTTCGACAGTTCTAGCTGTGAGTGTGGCAATGCAATCAAATAATAAGAGCAAGCGCTTGTCCCTGCCCCACTCGGGAGAGCACTCTCATGCGCCATGCAGCTGCTGCTGTGCCCGTCCTGCCTGCTCGCCTGCTGACTGCATGCCAGGATAGGAGTGCGAGAGGCCGGGCGTGCTTGTGAGGCCCGGGAGGGCAGTGCGAGCAGCAAGGGCGGGTGTGGGCGCGGTGACAGCGTGGCACTGCCCACACACGGGGGCCTGGAAGCGGCACTGCCAACCCGCAGCCACTGCAATGCAGGCTGCACACACATGGCGTGCTTGCAGCGGGCAGTGGTGGGAGAGGGGCGGGAGAGAAGCGTGGTGAGAGAGAGGGGGAGGGCAAGAAGTGGAGCGCGGTGTGGTGCGAAAGCTGCAGCCCAGGTGAGAGCGGAGAGGGGGGCGTGTGGCGAATGGCAGTGCTGCCATGGCAGGCGGTGTGGGCGTGACAGGGGGAGGGGGGAGCGCAGGTGGAGAGCAGCAGCGGCGCAGGGCAGCAAGGCGGCTGAAGGGGACCTCAGGGCCTCGGACTGGGTGGCACCTGCACCAGTTGCCACCTCCCCTTGAGGGACAGGGAGGGACTTTGGTCTTTGCCATATTCGGGTCCCACTGCTTCTCCCACCGCCCCTCCCACTGCCTCTCACCCCCCTTGAATCCCTGCCATTTACCACCCCTGATCCAATGCTGCCCCCCCTATCGCCCCCTCTCGCCCTCACTGCCACCTTCCCCTCTGCCTCTGCCTCCTGTGCTGCTGCAGGGCTGCTACCCTCGCCCCCCCCCTCTGCACCCTCAACCCTGCTGTTGTTCTCCACGCCAAACCTCTCACCACCACCGCTGCTGCTCTCACCATCACTCTCGTCACTGCCTCTCATGCTCTCACTGCTGCTGCTGCCATGACTCGCCCCATTACCAGTCTGCCCCGCACTGCCATCTCCCACATCCGCCCTGTTCCCTCCCCCTCTTCTAGTCGCCCCTACCCCTGTCCCACCCCCTTCCGCCCGCACCCGCCTGCCCCTCTCCTCGCGCTTGCTCAGCTTCCGCGCCCCTCCCCCCTGTGCGCCACACTTGTCGCGCTTCTCAGCAGCAATGCGCTGGGCGTCGCGCCAGAGCCCCACGGACTGCCACGCCAGGCTCGTCTGCTCGTAGCACCGCGCGTCCAGCTCCCCCCCCTCCGCCTCCATCAGGCGCAGCACGGCCTCCGCGCGGTGGGGCAGACGCGCCTCACAGAAGCCCCAGATGAGCGTGCGGAAGGTGAACGCGTTGGGGCGCACGCCCGCGCCCACCATGCGCTCGTACACAGCCATGGCGGAGTCCATGCGCGCGCCCATGCTGCAGTACGCGCCCATCACCGTCGTGTACGTCACCACGTTCGGCGCCACCCCGTGCTGCGCGCGCATCTCGTCCAGGAGACGTTCCGCCGCGTCCCCCTGCCTTGCGCGCAGGTACCCCTTGGCGAGCACCGAGAACGCCTCCACGTCCGGCGCCAGCCCCGCCGCCATGGCCTCCTGCAGCACGGCGCGCGCGCGGTCGGGGCGCGCGGCGGTGCTCCACGCGTTCATGAGCGTGCAGTACGACGCCAGGTCGGGGGGCACGCCCGCCACCCGCATCTTCTGCAGCACCTGGTGGGTGCCGAGCGCGGTGGGGGGGTTGCGCGGGGTCGGCAGTGAGTGGGGAGAAATGCGGGGAATGGTGGTGAGTGGGGTGTTGTGCGCGCGGGGAACATGGGTGGAAGTGAGGAGTGCCAAAGCCCCGCAGCTCACAGCGCTCGGGATGCTGCGCCATCTGAAATTCGTGCTTCAGCCTAACACATATCTGCTGTTCGCTCTTTCTTTTACCCCCTTTCCTTTTTCCCTCTCTGCTCAATCCTCCTTCTCCCGCCCCTCCCTTTTCCTCGCGGCTCGTTCCTTCTTCTCCCGCCAAATCCCTCTCTCCGCAAGTTCTACCTGATCTTCGCCCGTCTATGGCTAATCAAGCGCGCTGGGACATATCCGACCTCACCCGTTCCTTCTCCTCAAGCCAATTCCGTTCCTCACGCCCGTTCCTTCTCATCACACCCTACTGCCTCTCCGCCAACCGCCTCTGCAGACATCTCCCTCTCCCAATTCTTCCACCCTTGCCTGGGCCTTACCTGCTGTCACCCGCCCCTCGGACCTGTCTCCGCCCCAAAGTCTCACCTGCGCGGCGGGGAGCGGCTGGCCGGCCTGGCAGTACCCCTTCACAATGGTGTTGAAGATGGTGGCGTTCGGCGCCACGTCCCACTCGCGCATGCGCTCCGCCACCACCTCCGCGTCCGCCATGCGCCCAACGTCGCACAGCGCGCGCACCATCATGCCGAACGTGCGCGCGTTGGGGCGCACCAGCGCGTTCACCATTTCGCGCAGCACGCGCTCGCAGTCGTTGGGGCGCCCCAGCCGCCCGTACGCCTTCATCAGCGTGTTGTACGACACCGCGTCCGGCGCCACACCCGCTGCGCGCATCTCGCGCAGCACCGCGCGCGCCTGCTCCACGTCCCCGCGCTCGCACCACGCGTTCAGCAACATGTTGTACGTCCGCAACTCCCCGCCCCTCCTCTCCTCCCCGCCCCTCCCCGTCCCCCGCGGCTTCTCCCGCGACCAGCTCCGTCCGCCCTTGCGCCGCCCCGCCGCTGCTCCCGCGCGTCCCACCATCATCTCCGCCACTTTCGCGGCGTCTTCCGGGCGCTTGGCGGCGCCGAAGCCTTTGATGAGCGTGTTGTACGTGCTGGCCGTCGGCTCCCACCCGTTGAACCGCATGCGCCGCAGCACAGTGAGCGCCTCGTCCACGCGCGCGCGGGAGCAGAACGCGTTGACCACGGCGTTGTAGCACACCGGGTCCGCCGCCACCCCCGCCGCTTCCATCTCCGCCAATACCGCTTCCGCCTTTTCTGGCTCCCCCAGCGTCGCATGCGTCGCAATCACCTGCGAAAACGCCTCCAGCGGCGGGCGATGGCCGGCGCGCTGCAAGCCATCGATCGCAGCGTGCATGCCGGCGACGTCCGCCGTCGCACGGCACGACGCGATGCGGTTCAGAGCGGTGGCGACGTCCGGGCACGGCAACGGGCGCTTACCCTTCTCCTTTGCGGAGCATTGCGCGCAGCGAGCGGCTGGCGGAGGGGCATCGCAGAGCCACGAGGGATGCGCGGAGCTGCCGCACTGCATGCAGCGGAACTGGCGGGAATGGCAGACAGAAGGGCGATGGGGGGGAATGCGGGATACAGAACCTTGGATTAGCGAGGCCAGTGCGAGCTAGCCAGGGCGGGCAGACGCATGAGTGTGAGAAGGTGTGATGGGGGAATTGGGGGCATAGGCACAGGGGAGATTTGCGACGAACCTTGGTAGATTGGCTGGCGGTGGAAATCGAGGCGGGCGGCGATGCGTCGTCCACCCCGCTGCTGATGTCCAGCAGGCCCTCCGCCCACCGCTCGTCGTCGCTCCTCACGTCACTGTCGCTCCACGCGTCCACGTCGCTTCTCGCGCCGCCGTCGCTCCTCGCACCGTCGTCCGACTCGAAGCCGTCCGGCAGCGACGGACGCGACGGCCGCGGCAGGGACGCATCGCGAGGCGGTCTCTTGAAGCGCGCCGATTCCTGGGCGAGCGGAGGCATGGCGGGCAGGGAGGTACGACGGTCAGCGACGCACCAGTTGACGCACGTGATGCGGCAGCATGGCAGCTGCGGATTGCGAATTCGTCAAGCCGTGGTCGCCGAGACTGGAGATTTTTGCGTGCAATGCGGTGATCAGCAAACGACAGTGAGCTGTGTCCCAGTAGAACAGACAGTGGACGAGACGAGTGGGAGTGTTCCATTGTGTTGCGACAGTATCGAGGGTGGCGGGTGGGACCTTCCCGAGAGACAGCAGAGAAATTATCCCGGGTAATTACCTTCCGGGTAACCAACATCGAGCCCGCTGACGTACGCAGTCCGCCACGTGGCTCGATGGTACCCATCAGATTGACCGATCTCCCCTGTGGTACCCGTCATTTCCCCGGTGGTACACATTATCCCTCCGTGGTACCTATCAACTCTCCACAGATTTCCCAACTGGTAACCAAACATTTCAACCGCAATGTACACCGTACGCATGACGTTCGAGTCAGCAAAAACATCACCATTTAGGCCAGAGTGAGTTTCCTTCTTACTAACCTTGCCTGAATGTTTAATTACTCCCTTATAATCCGAACATTAATTGCACATAAAGGACCCATAAAAGTATGTTTACTTTAAGACATATTAACGTCATTTTCGGCTATCAAAAGTTACTACACTTGGAAGAAGGTACAGAGAAATCAGTTAAAATTATGATAATGCAGTATGTTTTATGCACGGATCGCTTTAGCATTGCCCTTCATCACTCCCTGATCTCGTTCTAAAATTGCTCATATTATTACCGGGACACTTTGGCCAAGTCAATTACATAGGTGTTGAGGCCATAGTATGGGAGTGCAGCGTCTTCTGTAAACTAGCACTATTTTGTACATCATTTGTTTTAAACTTAACGGCATGGTTCTGGTATTCTCATTTTTATAGACAATGCAATAGTATGAGTCGGTGCGACAAAGAGACACAGCATGCACATTCTTTTTTCTTGTACTGTAAAATGTTTTAAACTGCACCACACTTAAACCTGGCGCGACAATATCTTCACTAAAACTACAATACATCATCTCATCACCCCAGCATGAGCGAAAAATGAGCATGTAGCACCCAGATGGAGTGACATGAAGCGTAAATCCCCATCGCATATATCGTACTCTCGTTCCATGTACCTGCCTACAAACGAACGGACAGGCAAACAACTACGAGCAGGTTTTGGCGTCCACACATTTCACTGTCTCTTTAGCTACTAGCATCACCACTACATTCACTACCCGTGTTCATTCACTAAGTAAATTCACTAATAAGAACACAGTCCACTCAAACATGCCGAGTTCAACAGTGGTGCTGCTCATGTTGTTCGCCCTGCTCTGCCGAGTTTGTGGTTGCAATACGTCCACCAGCAGCACCTGTCGCATAGGTTTCACCATCCCCTTGCTTCTGTGTAGGGTAGATTGAGCTTCCGTACGAAGGCCATTGATGGATCATGTTTGAGTGCATAGGCACCATCCAAGGGTATTGCCAATACAACCCTTGTTGCTGTGCTGCAACCCCTCTATCCATTACATTTGTTGAATAATATGTGGCGCTCCTCGGGTGTGACATAGGAACGCGGATTTCCTGCCACTGTTGTCCCTCTTGCTGCTGCCCTGACTGCTGCAGCCAAATGTGCTGCTGCCCTGCGTTCTGCTGCCCTGTGTGCTGCTGCCCTGCGTTCTGCTGCCCTGTGTGCTGCTGCCCTGCGTTATGCTGCCCTGTGTGCTGCTGCCTTGCGTTCTGCTGCCCTGTGTGCTGCTGCCCTGCGTTCTGCTGCCCTGTGTGCTGCTGCCCTGCGTTCTGCTGCCCTGTGTGCTGCTGCCCTGCGTTCTGCTGCCCTGTGTGCTGCTGCCCTGCGTTATGCTGCCCTGTGTGCTGCTGCCTTGCGTTCTGCTGCCCTGTGTGCTGCTGCCCTGCGTTCTGCTGCCCTGTGTGCTGCTGCCCTGCGTTCTGCTGCCCTGTGTGCTGCTGCCCTGCGTTCTGCTGCCCTGTGTGCTGCTGCCCTGCGTTCTGCTGCCCTGAGTGCTGCTGCCCCACCTGCTGCTGCCCCAGCTGCTCTCTTGTCTGTTGCTGCCCTCTCGGTCGCTGTCCTCTTTGTTGCCGCGGTCTCTGTTGCACTCCTCCCAGTTGCTGACCTTCCTGATGCAGCCCTTCCTGCTGCCCTACCTGTCGAGTTCCTCGCCGCCGATTTCTATGTGATGGCCCTACATTCGTGTCTTGAGGTGAAGCTTCCCTTTCAGCTTCTTCCAAATCTGGTATTTGGCGTTGTAGACTAATGCGGGACACTTTCCTCAAACGGATCCGGACAATCTCTGCCGTATCTCTAGGGCCGACTGTGTTTGGCTGGTGCTGTTGCCGCTGTCCCAGCTGCTGCTCCGAGTGCTGCTGACGCTGTTGGGGCTGCTGCCGTCGCCCTTGTTGCCGCTGCCGCTGCTGCCTATCTCCCAGCGTCTGCTGCTCCCGTCCTTGCTGCTGCCCCTGCTGTTGCTGGTGCTGCTGTTCCTCCTGCCGCCCCTGCTGCCCCTGCTGCCCCTGCTGTTGCTGTTGCTGCTGTCCCTGCTGCTGCCGTCCCTGCTGCTGCCGTCCCCGCTGCTGCCGTCCCTGCTGCTGCTGCCCCAGCTGCTGCTGCCCCAGCTGCTGCTGCCCCTGCTGCTGCTGTCCCTGCTGCTGCTGTCCCTGCTGCTGCTGCCCCTGCTGTCCCTGCTGCTGCTGCCCCTGCTGCTCCTGCCCCTGCTGCTGCTGCCCCTGCTGTCCCTGCTGCTGCTGCCCCTGCTGCTCCTGCCCCTGCTGCTGCTGCTGCTGCTGTCCCTGCTGCTGCTGCCCCTGCTGCTGCTGCCCCTGCTGTCCCTGCTGCTGCTGCCCCTGCTGCTCCTGCCCCTGCTGCTGCTGCTGCTGCTGCTGTCCCTGCTGCTGCTGCCCCTGCTGCTGCTGGCGCTGCTGCTGCTGCCCCAGCTGCTGCTGCTGCTGCTGCCCCTGCTGCTGCTGTCCCTGCTGCTGCTGCCCCTGCTGTCCCTGCTGCTGCTGCCCCTGCTGCTCCTGCCCCTGCTGCTGCTGCCCCTGCTGTCCCTGCTGCTGCTGCCCCTGCTGCTCCTGCCCCTGCTGCTGCTGCTGCTGCTGCTGTCCCTGCTGTTGCTGCCCCTGCTGCTGCTGTCCCTGCTGCTGCTGTCCCTGCTGCTGCTGTTGCTGCTGCTGCTGCTGCTGCTGCCCCTGCTGCTGCTGCCCCTGCTGCTGCTGCCCCTGCTGCTGCTGTCCCTGCTGCTGCTGCCCCTGCTGTCCCTGCTGCTGCTGCCCCTGCTGCTCCTGCCCCTGCTGCTGCTGTTGCTGCTGCCCCCCTCCCCGTTGCCGCTGCTGCCTCCCTCCATGTTGCTGCCGCCTCCCCCTCTGCGGCCGGTTTGACCGCCTCCCCCCTTGCCCTTGATGTTGTTCTCCCCCCCCTTCTGGTTCGGTTGCTTCCTCCCTCCCCATGGCTACATCTGCCTCCTCCCCATCCGACCCTTGCTGTTCATGGTTCTGCCGCCCTTGCCCCACTTCCACTTGCTCACCGTCAATTTCCTCGGACGCATCTGTCGAGTAGGAATAATCTGTTTCTTCATCGGTTAAATCTCCTACTTCTGTCCCCGCGCCCCCCTCACCACCACCTGGGCCTTTCCTAGCACGAGCTTCCATCCTCCGTACAGCTTCACACCGAATACCTTCACGGTGGAGTGCCCCACAAGCGTCGCACTCTGCAACGCTCACTTCAGCCATAGCAATTGTAGATGTTTGCATCTCAACATGAGCTTGCGGTGTCTGTCTCTCTTCCCATGCCACTCTTTGACTAGCCCGCAGCTCACATGTACGTACGTTATGTCCTTTCTCCCCGCACTTGCCACACTTGCGCATTTTTTCACCATCCACCTCACCAGAGCTTCTAAGGCGTTTCGAAGGTGGACGTCCGGCCCTCTTAGGATACACAGGAGGTTGGATCGTCCTATCGCGAACCACCTCCGTAGGGTCGAGTGGCACGATAGGCGTACTGTACACCTTTTTAAGAGATTCCACTCTGTAGTAGCGTTTTATCACCCTATGAGCTTTCTCTGGCGTGCCACTGTAAACTGCAAAAATGTGGACACACGGAAGTCCATATTCCCTACACACAGGTGGGATGTAAAGGGGCACAAGAGGAAGCATTGGGGTGAAATGGTCATTTCATACATTGTATTCAACAGTATGCAACAAGGAGAGAAGCAACAGAAGCAGCAGGGGGAGTGGGGGCCCATGGACAGCATTAGCCCAGCCCAGGAACATCAGTAGCAGCACAGACAGCAAGGACAACCACAGCTGGAGCAGCAGTAGGGGGGGGGGGGGGGGGGGCTTCGGGTGCATCAGCAGCAGAGGGAGTGGGGGAAGTAGGGAGTAGCAGAAGGTGCAGCTGAAGCAAGGTAAAGGAAAGAGCAGCAGCCGTAGACGTAGAGGGAAATGATTGAGCCACAAAAGGCGCTGGGAGGTAAGCAGGAGGTGGGGGTGGTAGCATGGTCAGCAGAAGGGACAGCAGCAATAAATTGAGCAAGCACACAATCCACACCTTGTGTACCCGCAGGAGCATGAGCTTGACTCCGGGTTGTTGACATCCGTGGTGACCCGGCGTGTCTCCCTTCCAGTCCTTCGAGTCACCTTATAAGTTTGCTCCACCCTTGACCCTCCGGGCTGCGTGATAGCAATCTCTCCGGTTTGCTCTGCCGTGTAGGACATACCACACCTAGCATTCTCACGAATGATACGGACAATGTTGGCGGGCAACTGCTCATCCGCCATCTCCTCGTACTCTTTATTCCGCTTGAATGTAGAAACTGCTTCTCTACCTATCACAGCCAGCAGCACCTGCGCGGGACTCTTCCTCCTCAACCCTTTTAGGGTAGCATTCATAGACTCGACTGGGTTTGACGAGTAACAGCCAAAACGTGCAGCCCCAAATCTAGTGGTGGCCCATTTTGCAG